CCATAAAAAATGAGAAATTAGAGACATTTATAGCTAAATGGATGCACATTGAGGCGATACTCTTAAGCGAAATAAATAGGACTCACATGTATAAATATGAAGTAGTTTCTCTAGTGTGAGAAACTGAAAGTGTAAATAAGGACTAAAAGGTATAATAGATAATGTGAAATAGGAAGAAAATGGCCAAAGTGGAAGGGGAAGTTGAAGGGGAAGGGGAAAGGAAAGAAGGAAATGGAATTAATGTGAGAAAATGAAAAAATGGAAACAAAGTCTTTGTAAATAGGGAGGGATGGAGGGGTTGAAGGTAGGGCAGGGAGGGGGATAAAATAAGAACCAAGAGTATGTAAAGGTGCAAATTTCCAGTGATGAATGTCATTATATTGTACACCTAAAATGTACCAATTAAAAAATGAATGCATAGAATTGAAAACAAACTGATTGCAGGCTAAATTTGAGATCTGTCCATCTCACTGTATGTAAATCTTACCTAACGTGTAAATATAGAATCTTTATGAATATGAGTGCTGAGTTTTTAGGGCTGACAAATACTGATGTCTAAAAATTACTTTGAAATACGTGAAATAGGATGAATTGGTGTATGGGTAGATAATTATATAGCTATGTATTGAAGCCATTATAGTAAAATATTGTTGAATCTAAGGGGTTGTACATGGGTAGTATACAGTTCAGCTTTTCTGTATTTGAAAATGGTTATCATAAAATGTTTGGGAAATTTTGAGGAATTTTGAATGCATATTAAATCTGTGGATGACTATGATTTACCAGAATGGGAGTCAACAAAACACAGAGATTAAGAGGCTGGGGTTCTGAAGTAGAGCTTTGATTTTTGAATGTATTTGTTGAGTCTTTTATTAGTTTTGAGAACTTTGACAAGATATAATAGATTTTTCTCATCTATATAACATGAACAATAGCTATATCATAGAGTTTCATGAAGATTATTAGGTTAAATTATATAACAGAGCTATCAAGATGTTTTATATATAATGAACTTTCAATAAAAATTACTTTTAAAAATCCAAGGAGTGTTGAAAAACAGTGCAATTAAAACCTTAGTTTGGTGTCCTGAAAAAGCTAATTCTAATAAAAATACTTCATAACAAATTTAAAATATAGTTTTAGTAACTTGCAAGGAATAGAAATGCTGAAAGTTAATTATTTTTAAATTTTTAGATATTTTCTTTCATTTAAAATATAATGTCCTACAAAATTACTTTTCCTTATAAATTTTCTAAGAGCAATTCAGCAGATTTGTTGTGTTGTATTACCAAGACCTTGCAGTAGGCGATCAGGAAACAAAATGGGCAGAGATAGGATTCCTACTCAGAAAAATTTGCAGTCTACAGTATAATGTTCCCTTGTTCTTTGGAGGAGAAACACCAGACCACGTTGATAGGCTGAAATGTATGTGAGATGTTTACCCTAGGCTACGTTTCAAATAAGTAGAATCTAGACATGAGATAGATGGAAATCTCTAGAATAGTGCTATTCAAAAGAACTCTCTGCTATGCTGAAAACATTTTGTACCTGAGTTCTCTAGTGTGGTAATTACTGTCACCCCTGCCAGTAAATTACACATTGAAATATGGCTGGTGCAACTAAGAAATGACATTTTTCATTTTATTTCACCTTAATTTAGACACACATGGCTAGTGGCTACCATACTATACAGTGCATTTCTTTAGTGTATTTACCAAACTGAGGAAAAAGACCAGTTACTTTAAATTTCCAATCTGCTATAAACTAATATTTTTGTAGAATGCAATAAAAATCAAATGAAAAAAGTTGAAGTTATGTAGAATACCACCTTTCTCCCCCCTCCCTCCCTTCAGTGTTCTGCCACAGCTTCATCACCAGTCTTTTTAATTTGTTTTGTTTTGAAACAGAGTCTCCCTAAGTTTTCCAAACTGGCCTTAAACTTGGGATATCTGCCTCAGCTTCCTGAGTAACTGGAATTACAGGCAGGTGTCACCATGTTTGTCAATTTTCCCTTTATTAGATTCAGGAAACAAATTTCTAAACACTGTCAACTTCCAAATTTTATGTCACCATGTACAAATTAAAAATAGTTCTCAGATGGGCAATGGTCTTGGACCACACTTTGAATGAGGTAAAGTCTCTTACTCAGTATACCTAAAAATAAATAATTAAACCAACTCTTAATTAACTCTTAATTAAAACCAACTCTTTATATTAGTTACTACTACAGGTAATGTTTTAACATATAATTCAATAATGCAGTTACTGATGTAATAGTTAATACATTTTGTAGCAAGTCTTGTCTAGGACTGCTGAATATTGACAGTGCAATGTGGATAACTTCAGGGTGGACTGAGAAGCCTTATTTGATCCAGTGTAGCCATTTTTGCACTTGGAGTTGTAAGCAGAAAATTCTTTCCTTCTATAAAGTTCAGCCCGATGTTTACAGCAGCCAAATTTGCTCAGCAATAGAAAGAAATCCCTTTGGAATGCTTTTGTGAAAATTGCATATAGAAATGGATTGGCACAAGAATTGATGGGATAAAAGAGAACCAATAAAACTTTAGAGTTGGTTACTGTGATAAGAGGCACTTTGAAGGCAGCTGAGATGGCAAAAAAAGAGATGGGTGCCATGCAGGTGAAGTCAGTGAAGATGAGGATTGCCATTTTCTTAGCAATCTTGGTATCTTTGTTGGTAGCCATCAGCTCTGGATTTTGAACTGCAAAGTAAATTTTAATGTAGCAAGCACAAATGATGATGAAGGCTACCACATTGAATATCAGAATGGTTAATACATACACCTGTGAGAGGGTGGTTTCCACATCCATAGGAAGGCAAATGCTGACCTTAATGTAGTTGCTGACACCCACCAGGGGCAATACAGCAATGAGAGTAGAAAAGAGCCATCCTCCAAGCATAATTGGAATGGCATGTCTCAATCGCAGCTTTTGGTCCAGCTGAACAGCGTAGGTGATGGTGTGCCATCTTTCTAGAGTGATGACTGTAAGGGTGTAGACAGAAAGCTCACTTGCAAATACAGTGAAAAAACCAGCAGCACTACACCCACTACCTGTCTGCCAATCTATGGCATAGTTGTAGTACTGGCCCCTTGTTTGGGAATCGACTGAGGCAATGAGCAACAGATAGAGTCCCATGCAGAAGTCTGCAAAGGAGAGATTGCACATAAGGAAACGGGGGACCGTCAGTTTGTAATGACTGGTCAGGAGAACTAAGAGGACAGTCAGGTTTCCCATGATGGCTAAAATATTAATCAGCCAAATCAGGACCCTAAGGAAGTCATAGCCCATAATATCTTCACAGGGATTAAAAGCATCTGGCTCAGGAGCACATCGCAGTGTCTTGGGTGAGCAGAAACCATAATCATAGTCCCAGCCACTCAGTTCACTTTCAGCAAAGATGGCAGAATAACTGTAAGAAGAATATTGGCTTGATATAAACTTGAGGTTCTGAGTATTAAAAAATTTCAAGAATCATCTTTAGTATGTTTTTAAAGCCCAAGAAACAAAAATAAAGCCGCAACAACCTCAGCCTTATGTTTATTTGTTGAATTATCTGATTTGATGGAGTTCCTTAAGAATAGAATGAAAAGTCATTTAGACTATACAATATGTATCTGTTTAACACACTGATACAAAGACTTAATGAAGCTGTTTACAGAGGATGATGATTTTCTTTGGAAAATAAATTTAGAGATACAATATATACTTGCTCAACCTAAAAGCATCCTTTCTTGGCATTTTCTTAGCTATTTATCTCATGTAGTTGCCAACCAAGCTGCTACCAAGCTGTTTGTAGTAGCACACACATTGGATTGGAAGGCTTACAGTGTTAAAACTTGACTGTTGGTGGACTTGTTTGCACTTAAGTCCTTGGCTATTCAAGTAGCCTGACTGAGATTCAGAAAGCAAGGACAGACTACCGGAAACCTAGGAGCGGGGGAAGAATAGTCATAGACAATAGACAGAAATAATGGAAATACATGCCTATGGGAGGGATAAGTCAAAGGCTGTGCCTGTTGAAGGAATGATCTCCTTCTGCCACTCCCACCTAACTTCACAGCTACTACCTGAACTCACGTTTTTATCTTCTCTTATGGGGAAATTACATGAGTTTTGTTGATATCCTTTCTCTAATTTTAGCCATCTCCTCATTTCAGCCAGTGTTTTCCTCCTGGAATGACCTTTCCTAAATTATGAATTTTACTTATCCAACTCAAACCATCCCCACATTTCCGGTGGCTATGTGGTAAAATCCAGACTCCCTTTGATGGCCCCTGAGGGCCTCCTTGGTCTTGGTTCTGGCTGCCTCTCCAGTCTGAAGTCTTAAGAAGCAACAGTGCTGCTATTCAAGATATGGGCTCTAGAGTGAGACCGCTGGGGTCCAGTCCTGGCACAGCTGCTTACAGACTGCATAAATCTGGAAGCAAATTAGCATCTTTGTGCCCTAAGTTCTTCATTTGCTAGATAAAATAATACCCATACCTTCCTTGTTAGAGTTATGCTGAGAATTAAAGGCATTAATGCATGCCCTACTGCTTGAAAATCTCCTACAACTTCCCATTTGATCATATTGTAGCTCCCTGGATGAATGAGTTCTGTTGTTTTATTCCTCTGCCTTTTTATATTTTTCTTCTATTAGAATGTTTTCTTCCTTTCTTCATATCTCTGGTGAATTCCTCCTTATCCTTAAAGACAAGGTATTCTGAATCCTTTCTTGATTCTACTCTCCAAAGAGTTATTATCCTTCCTTTTGGCTAGGGTTGCATTTAGTACCACTGCAGTTATCAAAATATTGCACCTAATTGATGATAAATATCTGTCTTCTTTAACAGTCTCTTAGCATCTTGAAGACAAGGGACTAGGTCTTACTTATTTCTGAAATCAAAGTGCGTCACACAGTTTTGGCTCAGAGTATCCGTTCAATAAATGTTTGTGTTGTGAATGATGATCCTGGCTCTGAGAGAATTGATGGGATACAGGAACAATGTGCATGTTCTGCACGATGCATGTAGGCTCAGAAAATTTTCTTTTTGATCATGCTCTACTCACACAATCTCAGGAGCTTGAGAAATAGGCATAATTTTCCTGTGAGGGCCATTACAAATATATATTTAATCTTGGAGTTCCTCCCATTAAAAGTATTTTTCCCAACAAAAATTCTCAACTTCTGTATTAGATATGTACCTAATTCAGTGAGTGGAAGAAATAATATATTTGAGGAATATAATACCTAAGGGGAAAACCCACAATTAAAAAAAAAAGACAAAACAGTGACTTAGGACACCAAAAAGATGTTAAAATATTGTAGAAACAAATTTGGAACTACAGAAGGGCTGCTGCTATCCATATACAGACGACCACGTAGGTACCTCGTCTGTTTTATTATTAAATACAGTATCTTTACAAACAGATTTGTCTTCATATTAAAGATATCAATTTAATTAGTATTTTGATCTTTAAAAAGAGAAGATAGTAATAAAGAACTGTTAGAGAAATAGATCATTCTCAGCACTAGATGCTTACAGACCATCTCATTGGACCCTCACTTTATTAGTAAGGAATCCAAGATTAAAGAAAGTAAGAAACTTGCCCAAAGTCTGCCAGGGGGGTGGTCATCCACAGCCCAGAAACTTTTCCTTTACAGCTCACTGTTTTTCAGTCAGTGCTCTTCAAAGTGTGGCCCTTGGACCACCTCCTTCAGAGTCACTAGGGTGTTCGTTAAAACACAGATTTCTGGCTTTACCCCAAGCTACCCTGATTTGAAATCTCTAGGGACAGAGCCCAGAAATCTGCATTTTAAGCAAGTTCTCTGGATGGTTCATATAAAATAGTCAAAAATCAGGTAAAAATGTTACAACTATTGCTCCCTTGATTTCCTTTACCTCTTTCTCTAATCAAAACCATTTCAGCTGCTAGAAGCACTGATTTAAAACTTCTAAAACTTCTTTCATGGTTTTTGAATGAATTTAAATTAATAAATGTTAAACATGTTCCCACCCTTCTTCTGCCTTGGTCTTTTGCCCTTTCCAATTTTCCCTACTGGGCATGTCTAACAGTTTTTCTCTTTGGTGATTGGTCTTGAGACTGAATACCCTCTTGTGTCCTGGGATGGCTCCTGAGGGCAGCATCATGTCTATTGATGAAGCCCATCAGAAGAAATCTTTACCAGTGGAGGCTATGACAGGGAGTGTAAATGGATGGACTCACAGGGCTTATTAATACTGGGCTAAAGGAAGCAGAAGTTGTAACACCACTCCCCCAGTCACAGAAAGAGAAAAGAAGATGATGAGGTAGCCCTACTGTGAGAGAACACAGTGTTACCTTGGGGAGAATAGGTAAAGCTTAGTGGCTGGCTTTAGAATATCTAAACTCTAGGGACTCAGGAATGGCTCTCTGGTGTGAAGTGGGAGGTAGGGGATTTATAAAAAATGTTTTCACATTTTTGAGAGCCATTTTGTTCCTGAGCATTTAAAAATATATTTTCAGAACTATTGCAAAACCAAATTAAAAGTTTTTTTTTTCAGTAGAGCTGAATACATACATAACTATCCACAGGCAGCCATTTAACTTACATTATGTATTAATTTCAGATAGTTTGGGGATGCCAGAGATCAGAGAATTTGTGTTACAGCAGTGTTAACATAGCACACTCAGAGGAAGGCTCCTTTGGAAAGGCTTGAGACAGGGGCTGATGAGAATTATTGAGGGGGAGTTACAGTTCCTCCTCTCCTGCAAGCCACACTGTGGTGTTACCATCGACTGTACCAAGGAATGGCGTCCTGTTGATGACTATAAAGGTATATATGATACAAAGAGAGAAGTGGAAGGATGTAGAAAAGGAATTCCGGAGGTTAGATAGTATTAGACTCAAAGAAAAGGAAAAGAAGGAGACAGAATAATAAGAATACCTTACTCTACATGCTATCTTTAATAACTCCCTTCACTCTCAGGGTTCTGAAAGCCAAATGCTATTTCTGCTGCTCCTTATAGATAAAGAAAAAAGACTCAAAAAAGCAACTATTGCCTCTCAGTAGCCCATACTGCAAGGATTACCACTCTGGATTCATATCCAGTTTTGAGGAGCCCCAAGTCCGGGGTCTTTCTACCATAACCCTTACTACCTCTGTGTAACTCAGAGATGGGGAGGGGAATAAAGGAGAATGGTAAGGTGTCTTAGAGGGCATTTGGTTTTGTAGTTTTAAGGACACATGGGAAGAATAAGAAAATTTTGAATCTCAGTAATGGTGGAACACGGACACTATGATTACCTTGAGGTATGTTCTTTTATGACAGAAGGTAAGTAAAATGTCAAGACAGCCAGTATTTAAAGGAGGAAAAATGTTAAAAATTAGTCAGTAGAATAGAACTATAGCTTCTACCCAGTGTATGATAGTGATGGTATTAAGATTATTTGTGGACTCAGGAGCATAGTGGTCAGAGTGGCCTTAGCCTCTTTGAAGGGAAGTGGCTAATTCTAAACACTCTGCAAAAAGTTAATATTTGTGGATTGCTGATTATGTGATTAGTGGATTCTCATAAGTAAATCTATCATTTAGACCCATCTTCAGTGATAGCTAAATATTTGCAAATAATACTGTAATTTCTTTAGAACTTAATATAACTGTGGAATGAACATTTAAGTACATTTAAAAAGAATTTTTCTTTTCTTTTGTTTGTTTTTTTAAGAAAAAAAGCTGAAAAAGATACCCATATAATTGGATGCAAATCATCACTTTAAAGTATTAAAAAATACCTTGCAAACATCCTCCTAACCAAGACTTTTATCAGAGAAAAATTGTTGGCACTGATAACAATAAGGTACTCATAGAACAAAATATAAATTCCTGAGTTTCTTTGCATGCAAATACTTACAGTGTTTCATTATTTGGTTTTCTTGCTGTGCTTTCACATTGTTTGGAAAAGTTTTCAAAAATAGAAAATGAAAAATTCTGCCTGAAAGAGAAGTGAAAAAAAAAACACACAGTTGAGCTTTCAGTCTTTCAATCTGATCATGACTATTTGTGCTTTGTTCATCTAGATTCTTCACCTATTATATGGGCAGTGTTGTGCTTGGCACCATTGTCCTAACTGAATGCTTCATGAGGGGCGAGGAAAGACTTCTGAATTGTTATCAGAGTACTTCCTGCTTAGACAGAGCCTTCAGAATGCTGTATTCTGTGTGGGCTCTAGAGATGAAAATACTTAAATTTGTCATATTGAATCATGGCTTTTTCAATACTTATTAAAAGGTACCTTTATTGTGTATTGAAATTTGTTCCTTTTCAACACCCCCCCCCCCACTGGCCTTGATTAACAATCATTTAGGGTTCAGGACTTTGAATTGAAACTGAGACTCTTTTGTAAGGATTTGAAGATACTGGATATCACAGTATGATATGAATTTAAGGCCTTTTTGCTTATGTGCAGGAACATAAATGGGTGCTCTCTACTCCTCCATCTTTGCTTCTAAGTTTAGCTTATGAAAGTGGGTGGGTAACCAAGAAAATAAAAGCATGCCTGAATTTGCCTAAGGGACTTTTTATCTAGGGATGAAAAGCCTAAAGCAGCTACAAAAATGAGGAAAATTAGAAGAGAGGACAGCAGACTATGAGAGCCTCAGCTTTTGCTGAGGAGGAAGGAAAAATGAACAATTCAGACTGGACATTCTCTGTGGTTCTCTTTCTCTGATACCAGTGAGACAGTTCTGGTAGGAATAACTTTGTACAAAGGCAGAAAGGTGGGGAGTGTGTCAGAGCAGTTGACCTACTGGACTTTCAAAAATTAATAAACTTGGATCAAATTGTGATGTGTGTATTGCTGGTTCTGTATCTGACACGGGTTTATTGTGTGTAGATAATCCACAGATAACAGGAAATTTGGATATTGTTGACCTTCAAATGATAATACTGGGTTCTTTTCATTCTGTCTTCTTTGGAATTTTATCATAGATACCAGGGAAGTCTTGGGAACCATCTGCCCAGGCAGCTGTGTGCGTTATCCAGGCGTGGGGTTTGGGGACACAACTGAAAGTTTATACAAACATTCCACAGGCCCAGCTCGAGGCTCTTCCTTTTCACTGGTGTCCAAAGTCTTGAGCTTTAGGGACACAGAGGGAGTCAGTTAAAGCTTTAATCCCAACCAGGACAACCTCTGGGTAACTGCATTCTATCTTCCCATCTTACCCTGATACTGGCCTATAACTGCACAGGCGCCCCCCCCCCCCCCCGCTTTTTTCCTAGCTAGAAGTAGTCTCTTTCATCTACTAGAATAAAAAGTCTTGAATGAAAATTTTCCATATTAGTAATTTCAGAAGGGATATGACCCCTTTGCCACAAAAGTGTAGGTATCCAGACTTTATCATGAACCATCTCATGTGTTATTTTTCTGAACTGGTCTCTTACCAGCTTTGCTCACTTTCAGTCCATTTACTGCTGCCAGACTAATTTATAACAGCAAATTGAGTAGTCTTGCTGTAAGTTGTTTGTTGTTGCCACCCCCCTCTTGGCTCACATATGCTAATGATCTCATTTTAAATTCTCCATGGCTTCCCATCCTCTAATACCTTGGGTTGGTAGAGCCCATCCTGGTCCACTTCTCCCTGGCTTTCCCTCCTGACTCATCTCCCTCCATATACTTGTGAGTCTTCTTGTTCCAGTGTTGCTGAAGTATGTTCATGTAGTATTTCATGGCTCAGTGCTTTCACAAAAGCCAATCCGTCTTCTTGCCATACTTTTCCCCATGCCTGCCTTCCAGTATTCTGCTGCCATTTAGAAACTTTCTCTTATACTTCTGGAACACTGTGTTCCATTCTCAACTCTGTTATAACAGCTGTATGCAGCACAGGCATCGGCTTTCTCTTGTTGCCTCCACTCTGAGGGTTGAGACAAGTGCTTCCATATTTTGTCACCTGCAGACCGAACTCACTGTTTGGAACATGCTAAGTGCTCGGTAAATATTCTTTAAAGCTCAATTATGGGTGCATGACTCGGAGCACAGAAAGTGTTTTATCTTCTCAGCTACCCCAAATCCTCAGGTAGAACTGAGTCTACCTACGTAAGGCACAAATAAAACATGCTGGTTGATTAGTTATAAATAGGTTGATTCCAAACAAAGATAGCAGCAGCCTAGAGTCACTTTCTCAGTGCCTTATCTAATTAACTGATTGAGAATATCTCTGTAGGCTGAGATAACAACCCTTTAGGGTAGTGTTTTTTTCCTACTGTGAATTGGGAATTGAGTGGGTCAGGAAAACAATAGGGTGCATCAAGACTGGCAGTGAAAACAAACATGAAATAGAGTGGGCTAGGGCTGTAGCTTAGTGGCACTGCCCTGGCTGGCAAGCTCAAGATCCTGAGTTGGATCCGCAGTACCATAGGGGGTGGGGGGAAACATGCAATAGAATAGAGTAAAACAGACAAGACAGGGGGCTGGGGATTTAGCTCAGTGGTTCTGCCGCCTGCCTTGCAAGTGCAAGGTCCCCAGTTCAATCCCTGGCACAAAACAAAACAAAACCCCCCAAAACAGACAAGACAAGATATATCACATATTTTAAAAGTTAAATATTGTTTTGTTGCATTTCAGTTACACATGTTGCAATGCAAAAAAGGTATTTTTTACTATGCATCTCAGTCAAAAGAATCTAGAAAACATGCTCCAAAGAAGGAAAGACATCCTGCCATGTGCCACCCATTCTGGAGTGAGGCGAATCAGCAAGATGCTTTTTGCTGGACACAGACTCCACAGGAGCTCATGCCCCTTCTATCTCCATCATAAGGGAATCCTAAGGCCGGGGCTGTAGCACAGTGGTAGAGTTCTTGTCTAGCATGCACAAGGCTTAGGTTCCATCCCCGGATACACAAAGGAAAAGAAAAAAGGCTGATTTAAGCTAACCCTTAGCGAGCTAGGATTCTGATTTGAAATTGAAGCTGCTCTTCTATTGGGAGAAAAATCATCTTTTAGTAAAACACCCTTCTACAGAATTATTGTCCACTTTTATTAAAGATCAAAACATCGGATAAATTTTACCCTCCTGAGCCTAATTCTCCTACTTCCTTAAATTGCTGTTAAGGATTAAAACTAAGTGATCTTTGAGATACTAGTTTTGTACTCCATTTTGCCATTGCTAAAACAGGCTGTTATTCCATTAGCCATAGTGAGCTACAGAGGTCATTTAGCTGCAGGGTGAGTCTTGTTTTTTTTGGGTTTTTTTTGGTCTGTCTGAAAGTGACCCTGGAGCTATAGAGCTGGCTGGGAAGGGCAGGAGCAGAAGGGCCGAGAGCTGTCCACAGGGTGACTGGTTTTTTGAACTGAGTTTCTGCCACAGCTGGGTGGGCTTTACCTTTTGTTTTTTACTTACTCTTTTGTTGGCAAGTTCCTAAAAGCACAGCAGTGGCTAGGGTAAGTCAGTGTGGCATCCAGGAGATTGGTAAATTTTTCTCTTGATGGCAATTTTTTTAGAGAATAGGATGATGTGGCAATTAGCGTCTGAATGGACTCCAGTCCATAGCTCGGCAGGGCCTGCAATTTGGTGGAAGAAATATCCCTGCACGATAAAGGGAAGAAAGGCTTTTTATTTATTAATTTTATACATTTTATACAGAGAATGGAACTTCCCCTCACCAGTCTTGTCATTCTTAGCTTCTGAGAAATCTTGTCTCCATTTTGCTTTTCCCCATAATTCTCCTTTTTAGTTACTCTCATTAATACCTGAATTCAAAAGAGTGATTTTGTGATTTTTTTTCTCATATACACCCCATTATTCTTTTTCAAGGTTGAGTATAACTCCCTGTACCTGCCATACATTCATTAGCATTTCTGTCTTTCCTCTCTCCCGGTTCCTTTTTCCCACTCTCCTTCTCCATCTTTCCTCTTAGCAGAAGTGAAATAACTACTTGCTTTATAAGACAGCAGGTGCCTGTGGTGACATAAGCTTTTGTGCTCTACCCCAGGGGGAAATATTCAGGACTTCAGATGCCTCAGTCTCTGATTGATCAAGCCCTGCAGGGGAGGTTTTCATGAAGCACAGGCTGGTTACCCTGTTAAGAACTACTGTGTGGCATCAGCCATCATCTACCTGGGAAGCAGAAGGTGCGGTCTCTAATGGCAAGCTGGATTCATCTGTTCAAAGCAAGCAAACACTCTGCCGTGCAAGCAGAGCTTGTGTGGAAGGCTCAGCCTTTGTAAACAAGTCCTGCATGCCTTGGTTTTACTAGACTTGAGGCAGTGTCCAAGAAAATTTTGAACACGGACAATATCAGGAGGAAGTCACTTTGAATTAAAAAATTCTGCACATTTCCTGGTGGCTGCTGCTGCTGCCCCATGAAGCTTTCCAGCAGCACAAGGCTCCATACTCACAGCAATCTGCCCCAATACAGAGTGTCTAGTGTGTGGGAAGGCGTCACCAGGTGATGGGTAGATGAAGTCGACAGCCTGGAATGATGACTGGTGCAGGCTCTTAGAGGGACCATAATGGTGGCAGGATTTGCCCAGGAGTGCCTCCTCCTGCTGTGTGTTTGTGTTGAGTCAGATAACCTGGGTTCTCAACCTGCATTACAGAGATCCTGTCTTGTACCTGTGAAGGATCAAGTACAGGACTCTGCAGACTTGGGGTTTGTTTTTGTTTTTGAGTGAGTACATTTAAAATTAGGATTTTAGAAATGGCAGAGCCTCTTTACAAAAGGGTGGTTTTCTGATAGTGAGTTTTCAATCTTAGGAACAGACTGGTGAAGGTGTTAAGGGTAGAAGGAATATTTCTAGATACCATTCCAATTCCGGGGGTCCAATGGAACATCTGCTTAGGAATGAAGAGACCTAGTCTGGCCAGCAGTACTTACAGTCATTTTGAAGCAGCCAACCAAGCATCTCTCAGGACTGTCACACAGGCACCTATGCGCACACTAACTCACTCATGTTCTTCTCCTGGACACTGTAACTGGACAAGTCTTGGTGGTAGACAGAGAACCAGAGGCAGCTATCTGTCCTGTGGCCACAATGGCGTGCTAGGCTGGAGAGTATTCAGCCGACCTGCAAGACTGAGTCTGGTGTACTTTTAATATGAGCCATTTAAACAGGGAACCTTAGAGTTGGGTGGCCAGAGCTGGGAGGCTGAAGAGAAAGTAGGAGGCAGGAGGCCTGAGCTAGTGGAAGCCCTAAGTAAGCAGAAGTCATCAAGTCATCAAGTCAAGTGGAGATTAGAGAAAGTTAGGATGGACAGTGGCAGATATCAAGAAGTAGGATCAGGAATTTTAGTGGTGGGTGTTAGGAAGTAGAGTCAGCATCCATAGTGGCTAGGGCTAGGAAGTAGAGGAGGTCAGGAATGGAGACTGGTCAGATTTAGGAATCAAACCGGTGGTGGCAAACCTATGGCATGTGAGCCGCAGTGGGCACGCAGAGCCCTCTCTGTTGGCCTGCGAGCCGAGTCACCCCAGCCAAGGTTTAACAAATTATCAGCATGCATGCAACAGCAAAAATCACATGAGTTGTGTAAAAACACACCAAATGCAACCTTTCACCTTTCAACAAAAAGGCGTTTGTATCATTGAAAGCTGTGTGCTATGGCTTGTGTCTGGTTGTCCTCCCAAAGCCTCATGCAGTCATAGCTGGGGCTTTTTCAGAGGTGACTGGATCGAGAGTGTGTGACGCTGGAATTGATTCATAGTGCAGTGCTAGGCTCAAGGGCACTAGGATTAAGGATGTGAGTGCTACCCACCCTAAGTAGTTTGGAAAGATAAAAAGGGCAGAAAGACGTTGTTAAGGTCCCTTGTTGCTTTTACTACCTTCTGCCTGTCTGCCATGCCACCCTGCCTTTAAGGCAGCCAATTATGACTGAAACCTCTACAAACTGTGAACTAACTAAACCTTTCCCCCTTTAACTTTGGGTGTCGGGTATTTTGTCTCAGCAGCAAGAGAAAAATAAGACACCGTGTGTTATTGTGTTTTTCTTTTAAGTCAAAAGGTGTTAATGTATGAGTTGTTTTTTCAAAACTAAAACCTCAGTGTTCAGGTTTAATTGCAGTGTTAGCACTCTGCGATAAATAAGTTGGTTTTGGGTTGCAGTTTGGGCACTTGTGTCTAAAAGGTTTGCATCACTGCACTACATACTGTCTGATCTTGGCAGTGGAGGGGTGAGAAGTAGAGAAAGAGAATCAAGAGTTGATTGCAGGTAGGAGTCAGGAAGTAGAGAGTCAGAAGTAGACAGAGCCAGGAGCTGGGAAGTAGGAAGTAGGAAGCAGGAGTGTGGGGTTTATAATGGGAGAAGACAGAAAGTAGTCAGGAGTTGATAGGAGCAGGACCTAGCATATACCGAATAACCAGGACAGTTCATTTCCTTCCTCTGCTCAAAACCCTAAAGCTTTCCCATCTCATTCAGAGAAGCCACAAGGCCCTCATGACCCTCATGTTTGCCACCTGTTGTCCTTGTAGTTCCTTATTGTCCTCTTTGCTCACTCTGCCGTATTGGCTTCCTTGCTGTTCTTCAAATACACAAGGCAAGATCCTGCCCCAGGGCCTTGGCTTCTACTGTCTCCTCTCCTGGACTGCTTTCCCTGAAGATGCCCACATCACTTGCTCCTTCATTACTTTCATAGGTGTTTGCTTAAATGATACTTTTTGGGGTAGTCTTCCCTAACCATACTAAGATGGTAGTTCCCTCTTTCCAGAATGTCTTTCCCCGCAACCAACTGAATTTTCTTCTTCCACAACCAACACCATTTGTTCTACTACACAGTGTATTTACTTATGTGATTCTTGTCTGTCTTCCCCCATTCTATGAAGGCAGAGATGTTTGTCTTGTTGGCGTTTTCCTTGATGCCTAATCCAGTGCCTGGCACATGGTTATTGAACTAATGAATGAATGAATGAATGAACAAACTAGGTTACCCTGCTTTCTAGCATGTTTTGCATTGTAAAATGACACGCTTATTTACTGTTGTCTCCCTCATGTGACTGCAATCTCTTTAGGGGCAGAGACCACAGCCATTTTGCTCCCTGCTATTTCTCTAGCCAGGTGTCTGGTAAGCGAGTCATGTTTGATCAGTGTTTGTTGAATGAATAACAGGGTGCCACAGGAGGAAGTAATAGACTTTCACCTCTGTGAAGGAGCAAATGTGGTCTCCCTGTGTTAGAGCTACACAGTGTCCCAGACCTGTCCCATTTTTCCCTGAAGGCTGGCTGAAGTACAGCCCCTCTTTATAGGATATTTAGGTTCTTCAGCACTTCAGCAGGACACTACTGGTTCAGTTCTTCTTCCTCCCTATTTTCCAACATTCTTACTCCAAAGCACTATCAACTGAGGGAGCAAGGTTCACCCCTTGAACCATCTGAGAGTCGGACATGCAGTGGCTCAGCTGTGTCCAGCCATGGGCCAGGGGTAAGTCAGATCTCTGGCTTTGGGGCCCCTGGGTAGATTCCAGGAGGGGAGTCAGCCCCTCTGCTTGCTCATGACGCCAACCTCCATATCTGGTGCTACAAGTTGAATCATCATCCCTTCAAATTCATATGTAGAATCACTGGTCATTCGAGAGATGCAAATTAAAACAACACTGAGATTCCACCTCACGCCAGGAAGAATAGCTATTATCAAGAAATCTACTAATAGCAAATGCTGGTGATGCTGTGGGGAAGGAACCCTGCTCCACTGCTGGTGGGAGTGTAGACTGGTGCAACCACTGTGGAAATCAGTGTAGATATTCCCCAACAAAACTAGAACTAGAGGTTCCATTTGACCCAGTTATTCCCCTTCTTGTTATCTTCCTGAAAGAATTAAAAGCATCATACCACAGCCATATATGTATACCTATGTTTATAGCGGCACAGTTTGTAATAGCTAAATCTTGGAAACAGCCCAAATGCCCATCAGTGGATGAATGGAAAAAGAAGATGTGGTTTTCATATACAATGGAGTACTACTCTGCCATAAAGGATAAACTTGAGACATTTCTAGGTAAATGGATGTACCTTGAGACCATATACTTAAATGAAATAAGTCAGACACACAAGTTTAAATATTGCGTTATTTCTCTGGTGTGAGAAACTGAAAGGGTAAATAAGGACCAAAATGTATAACAGATATTGGGAAATGGGAAGAAAATGTTCAAATGGGAAGGGGAACAAGGGAGAGGGCAAGGGGAAAGAAAGGAAGGGAAAACAAAGAGAATAGAAGGGAAAAAATGGAAACAAAGCTTTTGTAAATAAGGAGGGGAAGAGGGGTTGAAGGGAGGGGAGGGGATTTGTGAAAAAAGCAGAATCCGGATATCTCATGTACAGGTACAAATTCCCTATGATGAATTTGATCATTATGTATATCTAAAATGTACCAGTAAACTTAATTTTAGATTCTTTTTTGGTACTGGGGATCGAACTCGGGACCTTGCACTTGCTAGGCAGGCAGCGGCACCACTAGTAAACTTAATTTTAAAAATCCACACATTGAAGTCTTACTCCCCTTGTACCTCAGAATATGATCTTATTTGGAGACAGACTCGTTACAAGGATAAGCAAGTTAAAATGAGGTGATTAGGGTATGCCCTAATCCAGTATGCCCATGACCTTATAGAAAGGGGAAGGTTGAAGTCGAACACACACACACACACACACACACACACACACACACACCCCCTCACCCTCACCCTCACAGACATGAGAAGGTTGGAGTTAGGCTGTCACAACCAGTGGGAGCTACCAGAAGCAAAGAAAGAAGTCTGGCGCAGACCTGCTCTTATAGTCCAGAAGCATCCAAGCCTGCCAACACCTTGTTTCAGACTCCTAGTCTCTGGGGCCCTGAGACAGCACGTGGTGCCCTATCCTGGCAGCCCACTGTGCTTGGTCTTTGAAACATCAGTCTTTAGTGGCAGAGGCTGATATGTGTAAGGCAGGTGTGCACGACGTGGCTGGGCATGCTAAGCAGGTGTGTTGGGGTACACAGCATGGGGAGGGAGGCAGCACCATTATACTCACAAGACGCTGGGGCCACTGGCCCCCCAGAAGGCTTCGTTGTGCATCTTCTCCAGGTGTACGTTTTCTTTTAGCTCCCTGTGGGGAAGCACAGTTTCCTTAGTGAGGTTTGCACCTTATGTGTAAACATAGTAGAGTGTGCGCATTTTCGGGCCTTCCTATGTGCACAGTGTGCTGGGTCAGAAGGAGAAAGCGGGGAGCTGTAGGGAAAGTAGAAAAAGCTTCTGCTAGTCCTTGGTGAAATTGCCAGGATGTGAGTCTGCCACTTCACCTCATTTGGAGGAACCCTTGTCCTGCAGCTTAAAGAGCATGTCCCTCCTGTTCTGGAGTCAGGAGGGTTGCTGCCGCCAGCTGGGAGAGAAGGAGCGTGCTGCCCCAGGAGGCCAAGGCAGAAGAAGGGTTCAAGTGCAGCCTGCTCTGTATCAGATTGGCTACAGTAACCTTGGAGGTCTCAGAGGTTGCCAATAGCAGTATACTATACTAAAGTTTGCAAATACTAAGAAAAGGAAAGGTAAGGGCCATAGGAAGCTCTTCTTTTCATGCTATAATTTGCCCCCTTTTCCTTTTAGATGTGTATCGCTGTGGGTGAGTGTGGGGGGAGTCACAGCCTGGGTAGACACGGGCTGTGCAGTGTAGATGATCACTGGGAGGTGTGTGAGTTATGGAAACCAAAGTGCTGAGGGCCACTACTCATAATGCATGGATGAATCCTTACACTGCTGGCAGGAGCTACCTGAGGCCCTTTAGTTCTGTGTTTTTGGCTCAACACAGCTTAGTCTGGCCTCCTTCCTGGGCTATGATGCTATTGTTTGCAGGCCCAGGACTTTCTCCAGGTGAACTAAGGACCTAGAGGAGAGGTCCCTGGGCTCCGGCCTGCACGCCTTCTTTGAGCATATTCTTCTATAAAAGAAGGGCTGCGACTCAATATTCTGGAAGAGCCTGGACAGCAGGCGCAGTGTTCATACATCACACTGGATGTGATGATTTTTGTCACAGGAACATGCGTCTTCTGAACCATCATCCCAGTGTCACATGGCCAAAAAAATACACCGATGGCTGGGTGACTACTCCTCCTTCACTCTCTTCTGCATGTCTCCACATTGTGCCTGTCATTTAAAAACAAGCCCCTGCACATTGCTGTCTGGGTGGCTGTTTTCCACAGGCTTCAGCTCAGCCATTTCTTTGGAAACCCCAGCCCTTTGGTCAGATGCACCAGTCATTCCCACAGCCTCCTTTCCCCTGGGTCTGTCTCTATTCTCAAAGAGATGAGGTGATCAGAGTCAATTGCTGTTTAAAACCTGAATGAAAAGATATTTGCCTTCTTAAACCTCCATGGCTCTTCTCCCTGACCCAGTTTGTTTTAATTACGTGCAGTTACAGTTATAAATCATTAAAACTGGGCCTTGGGAGCAAATAAGCCTCACGTCAGCCAGGTCAAGTTCATTGTAATTTCATGGCAGAGACTTCACATCTTATTAAAACTTGGATCTTTCAGTATACTGGTAACCCTGTACTGTCCTACTTTGTCAAAAAAGAACTCATATCCATTTAGCACATTTTCCTAAGGGTCACTTCTGAGAATTCTCCCAAGTGATGTGATGCCCCTGTATGAGAAGCAGAGGAAGGCAGGATGACATTTTGAGGCACAGGCTGCTTAACTGGATGCCCTGGGCCCCCACAGGTGCTGCCCCTCTCTTTCTTGCCTACTCACGGGAGGGAGGTGTTGGAGCATTTGCAGAGCATCCCTGCCATTGTCCTGGACAACTCTGACAGGCCTGTCTGTGAGGAATGTGTCAGAGACTGGGCTGGTGGTATAGTTAGAAAATTTTGCTTAACAGCTTGGAAAACACCTTCCTCCTCATTTAAACTCTTTAGTGAATGTCTTTGCCCTCAGAAGAGAATGCAGACTCCTCCCTGTAGCCCTTCTGTCCTGCAGGGCCTGCTTCTGCTGCATCTTCAGCTTTATCTCATGCCAGACTTCCCCTTACTGAAAACCTTCTATCCAGGGGGCTTCCTGTCAATTTCTGAACTTAGCAGCTTTTTTTCTTTTCCAACTCAGGACCTTTGCATATGCTGCTCTTGCTTTCGGTAATGTGTTTCCTCTCACTACTGTCCCCCCTTACTGTGGATTCCTTGTCATCTTTTAGAGTCAGCCTATATATTATGTCCTTGATGAAGTCATCCTTGAGTACATTGCCCAACTTGCTTGTACTCTCTCAGGTCTCGGTAATGGGTTATTCCCTTCATGGTATATCACTATTTTAAATAATTTTATTTATCTTTTTACTTGTTATTTTTTGCCAGTCTCTGCTAGAAAAGAAACTTCACGAGGCAGGGACCATGTGCACTCTATAATTGCAAACCAAACACCAAACACAGTGCCTAAGATATTAGTGGTGTTTAATAAATGTTTGTTGAATGGACACATGAATGAAATTTGTATTCTTGGTGAACTAACCTGTGTTCCTGGTTTCTTCTTTCTTGCTACAATGAGGTACACAAAGATACAGAATTTTGACTAATTGGACAGTGTCCATTTTGGCCTCTTTGTAACAGCTGAGGTCTGGCTGACCACCCAGGTCTTTCTTCCTGTTCTGTCTTCCCTGACCTTCCCTAGGTGAACTCTGTGAGTTTTTCTCCACTTCTGTTTGATTTTGCTCAAGCTTCTCTTCCTTATCTCTTGTTTTCCCCTAATATTATATTCAGTCCTCTTATTTTCCCCTATGCCCAGGTGCTCCCAGTCACAAAGGATTTCAGCCACCCTCTCTGTTCAGAAGACCCCAGCATTGTGTCTCTATGCTGTCCTGCCCCTTCCAGCCTTCCTCTCTTCCAGCTGACAGGTAAACTTCCCTTAAACATCCATCTCGCACTTCCCATCCCAGAACTTTAACTACTTCTCACTTCCTGCAGAAGAGACTACATTCTTTACTGTGGCACTGATGGCTCTGCCTGCTTTGACTTGAACTCACATCCAGAGCTTTCTAAAAAGTTTTTGGTCCATAAACACACCCCATGATTCCTTCTCCTGGCCATTCTTCCTGTCATCTGCTTGGACTGCATTTTCCTTCCATCGTTGCCTGTCCAAATGAGGCCCATCTCAAAGCCCGCTTCTCTTCCCCACTTTCAGTGACTTCCCTTCCTCCTGCCTTTGAGATCCCAGAGGACTTCTCTCTCCCAGGGCAGGTGGTGCACCTTGCCTTCTGTTTTAGTGACTACTTAGGGTACAGTTCATGTACTATGTGGAGACACTTCCTCCGAGGCAGTAAATTTCTGGTAGGGAAATGCAGGCCTTACCTTCATTTCCCTTGAAATACAGTATAGTCTGTTTCTTCAAGCACAGCTGATGCTTGGCAAACACTTGTTGAATGAATAATGGAATGAGGCTTGTGAGAGTAATGGGCTGGAAGAGGCTATCAATGCCCCCTAAGTCTGGCAGAAACAGATTCAGGATTCAACTATGTGACACCTCCATGAACTCAACAGTTCTTGTTAATGAATCCTTCATTGTGTCTTCAAGTTAACAAGAAATGAGGGCAAATTCACTCTATGGCAGGAAGAACAAGTTTTAAACAGCTACCATTTCTTGAGTACTTCGTATGTGCTAGATCCTATGGCAAGCTAAAGATATAATCTTGTTTAATTATTCATTCACAGTTATAAATTATTATAGTTAATAAATGAACACCTACTGTGTGTCAGGCACTGTGTTAAGTACCTTTGTGTTTTGTTGGGGGTTTGCACAAAACAAGCCTATCAGCAGCTTTATTTTATGAATGAGGACACCGTGGCTTAAAGTTTAAGCGACTTGCTCAAGCTCAGACCGGCTGATGAACAGTGGGATTGGAGTGTGAGACCCAGTCATTACCCTTAGGCTTGTTCTCTTAACAACCAAACTGTGTGGCATGGTGTCGGTATAATAGAGTCTTTGGCTTAAGATCTATAGTTTAAAATAATTAGTATGTCATGTAGACTTGTGCTACTTAACTTCAGATCTGTAGTGTCAGCATCTGCTGGCGCTCGGGAAGGTTGCAGGTTCTCAGACCCTCCTTAGACCCACTGAATCGAAGCCTCTGGGGCTGGGGAAGTGGTGTTTTCACAAACTGCAGGTTATTCTTATGCGTGTTAAAGTCTGCTGAGGATTAATGTAGACCATCATTTATGCATTTACTTGTTTTAAAAGCCTTTTTTGTTTGCTTTCTTCAATTTTGGCTTTAGCTGAGCTCTTCATGTGCTCTTACTCTTGTCATGCACAACCGAAGGGTGCCGGGCGCCTCACCCTGGGCTGTGATGGGTGGGTCACGCATCCTCACAAGCTTGGGAACGTGCCACTCCTGAAGAGGAGCCCCAGAGAGCAGGAGAGGTCGAGCACAGTGAGGGAACATCAATGGGTTCACCTCCCCGAGGTAGAGGTAAAGGCTGTTGCACTGGCAGTTCAGATCTGGGGAATCTGCTGGGGAACGCACCTGGGAAGGAGGAGGTTCCTTCCTCCCCACAGGCGAGTGGGAGGGAGGGGCCTCTTGAGGTGGGGCAGTCGGGGCTGATTAGGCTGCTAAGTGGCATCACTGGATTTCTCTGCAGCGGGGCCTGGGGAAGAGTTTCTTTCTGAAATGTGCTGCCTGTGACTCACCATCAGCCTGAGTGAGGGGCTGGCAAGGGGAGCTGGGAGCTGGAGGAGGCATAAAGTAGGGTGTTGAATATTTCAGCAAACTGTCAACTTCAATGTATCAAGGCTGCATCTGTCTTTGAAATCAGGGTGCTCTGGGGTTTCCAGCCAGCCGGTTGCCTAGTAACGTGCGTGAGACACCGAAGACTAGCCACTTGAAAGTTTATTTTTGCCTTGAGTTAGTTGCTGAAGATTGAATGTGATCTGGTAGCCAGAGTAAGACTTCATTTTTATTCATGAGCCAGGGAAATAAGCACATACTTACAGTGAAATTAGCGTCGTCCCATTGAATGCGTGACTTTGTACTTCTTTAAATCCATTTCCATATAGTTTGCTGAAGGAGGGAGGAGAGAGGGTTTAGGAATGGGAAGGAACAGAAAGAAACACAGTTTGGAAGCACACATTCATCTTCCTGTGACAGTTATTACTGAGGTAATCACTGGCATCCATAATATCTAGCTTGGGTTCGCAGTGTTTATCATGGCCCGATACTTAATTCTCATCATCCTTGCCATTCTACTGACAAGAAGGCTGAGCCTCAATGTGGCCGTGCATCATGTGGCAGAGCTGGGAATTGAGGCCGCACAATCTCACTCCCCCTTTCCTCCAGCTCTGTGTCCCTGGGTGGGTTTGTGGGCTTTGGAGAGCAGAGCCAGGCTCCAGGATGCAATCATTGTTCCTTTTCTCGGATGAGTAAAGTGGTTTTGCTGATGCCAAAGTTGGCTCTACAGCCAAGAAAATGTAAGTGCCTGAAAACAGTTCCTAAGCCCATGAGTGGATAGGGAGCTCAATTTAGTTGAGTGCAACCAGCATTTAAAAAAGTGAAATAGAGTAGACAAGAACAAATGGAAAGTATTAGAGTAAATTGCAAGCAGTATTAATATTTATGAAAATTGGTTCTCCTGATTTTATATGGCACATATATAAATATACAGACATACACACATGGACACACACACTTCTGCCCAGACCCAGACATAAGAGGCTCCTGAGAACATGGAGCTGGGAACTGTTAGAGCTAGAAAGAAACTTGGAGTGGTTCAAGAAGCACCCCTTTAATTTGTAATGAAGGAAATGGGCTCCCAGGGGAAAGTGACCTGTCTAAAGCCAGTGGTGGGCAGGAATGAGCCAGAACACACTTTGTCTGAGGCTACTTCCAGTGCATCAGTTTTAATGCTGCCTGTTTTTAACTCTTGGACTCCAGATCCTTGTGGGCTACCCACCCTCCTCCTGCAGGCTGTGTTCAAAGTCCTCTTCTCAGTGTGGCCTCCCTTGGCTGCCCTGTTTAAAAATGCCAACTTCCCTGTCTCCTTTCCCTGATGTGTTTTTCTTTTGTAGCTATATTACCATCTGGCCCATGACATTTCATTGTTTGTTGTCTGCCTCCCTGGAAGAGCACAAGTTTCATGAGAACAAGATTTCACCCTGCTTTGTTCATTGCAGAAATCTCCTGTTCTAGGACAGTGTGTGGCACCTGGGTTTATTATAATAAACATATGTTAAATGAATGGGATGAACAAATGGGTCTAAGAAGAACGTATCATTAGAAGTCATAGCGAAACAAATTTGAAGGGCACTGTCTTTCATGTAAATATTTGTGTAAGTTCTTTGTGAGCCATGATGTCAGATCCAAGTGGAAAGGGGTGTGGTGTAACAACACCTCATTGGACCTGGCAAGACTGGCTTCCTCCCCAGAGCTGTTGGCAGTTGCATGACCACACAAAGGACAGGCTTGGGGGTACAACTTGAGAAATGGCTCAGATACAAGCTCTGCTCCACCTGCTCCTGCTCCAGGGGGCTGTTGTCATGAGGTTTCTCTAGTCTTTGTCAAATAAAACAAACATGAATTTTAATTTCATGCTCTCTGTGAATGTGTTCATGCTCTGTGTGAATGGGTAAAATAGTGTGTGTGTGTGTGTGTGTGTGTGTGTACGCGTGTGTGCGCGTGCTCTTTTTCCATCAACCCACAGAACACCTGACACAAATCAGTCAATAACCAGAGATGCTAACTCAGGTTGAAGTATATTTGAACTATGAAATCCCAAAAATACAAATTAGAGGACAGGTATACACCTGTCACTTTGGATAGTTATACATAACCTTCTTGCCTTCTTAGCAGCTCAGTCCCACAGTAGCTTTAAAAAATTTTACACTTAGAATATTGTTCTTTGTCAATCTCCTGTTATTTGGGCACTGGAATTCCTTCATAGCAATCACTTTTAGATGAAAGAGTCATACATGTTATTTCTCTGAACTTTGAAATTTGATTTTTTAGATTCTAGGCCAGTATTTATCAAAGCATTTTCCTCTACCCACTAACTTGGACCGACCTGTTTGTCAGAAATGAAGACTTATGGACCTGGTGCACCATAGACCTGCCCTGGAATCTGGTGGTGGTGTTCAGGAAGAGGTCCTTTCCTGACCAGGTCTCCGGGGACTGACAGGCATGCCAGCTGGGGAGCACTTAGCCTATGGTATGCCCTAGTATAGTGAAGTTCTTATTTCTGGGGTGCAAATCAGATATCTTTTGCTCAGAATTCAGCTTAGAGTCTACGCCCCTTTCTGCTTTCTCTACCTTCAAAGTGATGGGTTTACATCTCTTGTGGACCACGGAAAAGCAGCCTCTTTTCTGTTTTTAGCAAAGCAGAACTGCCCACACTTGTCCGGTGCCCATTCCTCTTCACTGCTATGTTCGGCCCTGATCCTAGTTTTGACATATATTGGGATTTGATCCTGTTTTTGTTGAAGTCATGAGGCCATTGCGCTAAGTGCAGCCCTGTGGTTGAGTCTAGGTACTGAACCCAGCTGCCTGGGCTTGGATCCCAGCTATGCTACTCACAAGCTGAATTACTTTGGGCAAGTTATTTCACTTTTCTGTGCCTTGATTTCATAATCTGAAAATAGAAATGATAATAATAGCATCAATCTCATGAAGCTGTTTTGAGGATTAGAGTGGTAAATATATGTTAAGCACTTAGAAGCAGGTTCTGGAACACAGTAAATGCTTCATGTGTTGGTCCTATTATATTATTATTGCATTTTGTAGTGGCCTCCAGCTCTCTGATCTAAAGAGAAGAAAATGGTTTCCCTTTCCATGCTCTGGACAGGAGTCCCAGGAACTGCAGGCCACCTCTTTAACTGAACTGTCCCCATCCTCCAGTGGGGCAGAGGCACTATCCCCACAGGTACTCTGTGAGGGCCCTCAAGCCTCTGTGGCCTGTGTTAGCATCATGGGGGTCTTTACATTGAGACAGTGTTCACACTTTTTTCTTTTTCTCTCCCTCTCTCCCTCCCCCCCTTCTTTCTTTCTTTCTTTCTTTCTTTCTTTCTTTCTTTCTTTCTTTCTTTCTTTCTTTCTTTC